AGAGAGAGAGAGAGAGAGAGAGAGAGAGAGAGAGAGAGAGAGAGAGAGAGATGACGAAAAAGGGGAGTGTGGATGACAGGTAATAGAGAATAAAGAGGGCAAGGAGGGGTCAACACAGATTACTCACCCTTCACGCTCACTTATAAACTTTTCCAGCCTTTCACGGATCATGGCCAGCTCCTGATCCTGATCAAAGACATTATAAAAACCCATGACAAAAGTAACACCACAGTGATGGACATTAGATATATAAGCGTACAAGGCAAATCATCCAAGCTGGGAGCAAGATCCATCATCGAAGGGCTGGAACCAAATAAAAAACAAAAAAAAGGCTTCCTGGGGGTATACTTCCGGATTTCTTCTGGGGGTATACTTCCGGTTTTCACCAGCGGAGATTGTCGGCTTTGGGTCTCCTGGCTGGTTAGGGAACGTTGTTCTGGCCTACGCCAGGTGTTGGCAGCCTGGGTACTGCTACCCGCACTGAGCAGAGGGTGGTAGACATAGACCCATAACCATAGGATAGGTTAGCTTAGGTGAGGGTATTTAAAAGCTGTTTTTGTCTCCAATTATTAGGCATAGAGTAGGTCGTTGGCTACTTTCCCTAGTCCATAGTCTCTTGGCCTGCTATCTGCGCTTGGGGTGTCTGGTGCCTGGTGGTCTCGGGTTGAGGTGCAGGGTCGCCTTGGGTGCAAAGGTCGCACACTGACATGAGCAGGTAGGAAAAAAGTAGGTAGAGTAAGGAATGTAAGACATTGAGAGAAGAAAATAGGGTAACTAAATACAGCTGTCCCCCATATGAGGAGAAGAAAAAATCATGTTTTAAAAAAAAAAAAAAAAAAAAAAAAAAAAAAAAATTGTAGCCACTCCTGCTGGTCAGGAGGAGTTCCTCCATCTTCTGAAATTCTGTTTAAACAACTTCACGTTTGACGTGGAAATTAACCAATTCTGGTCGTACAAGTCACTTTCATTGTCTAATAACGAAAAGCAATTGAATGGTTGGATGACTTCGGATACTGGGGCTGTGGAGTGTATACCAAAACACACTGCCTCTAGGTAATCCTTGACTATCTAGATAGAATGCAGTCACATCAACCAGCGAGGACCAGTCTCTGGCATCCACCTTCATCACTAACCAGTGGTACGTGAAACTGCTAATTGGTCAGGGTTTTGCACCAGCAAACACACTAGCAGGAGTCGTCACCATGACATCATGACCAGAAGACTAATGGGAGTTCAAGACTTCTGACCATTCCATCATGAGGATAACAGCAATGGTCACCATGCAATCAGCTAAAACTTCAGAGACATGCCACCGTCATATCCTGGGGAGAATCAGCCCAGTTGCTCTTCCACCGGCACATCAGACATTTCACAACAGACATCCACACCATGCTTCCCCTCGTAAGAACCATGGGAAACCCCAAGAGAATTGACCAAAGCTCATAAAACCTTTTTTCGTTCTTCAAACTTTCTCAGCATCTTACTGCAAACCTGTCCATCTTGCGATTGTGAGACCATGGACTCATAACGACTACGGCAGTCTCCCACATCATGCTTCCCATTTTCACGGCCACGGGATCCCCCAGCAACTTCCATCTTCCAACGATTCCAGTGGCTTAATGCATAACCTGTGCGCCTTGCAATTACCACTAATGCCCTTGAAAGCATAGCCACTAATGGTAGCCGCACTGTGCAAAACGGGCATTATGTGACTTATGTCAGAAGAGAATCTAGAGGTATATTACCTTCTTCTTTGACTCCATACTTAATCTTCGAGCCTTCTCAGCAGCTTCATGCATAATATGTGTATCTTGCAATTGTGAGACCTCCATCTTCATTCCCAATATGCTCCTGAGCACATCGTGAGTCATCCCGCTTGCTTCTGCCAGCCGCCAGTTGAGAGAGGAGATCTGCAACATCAGAAGGTCTCAGTCATTTAGCTTGCAACAGGCTCGTCAAGGGATGCCACGAGCTAGACCCGTAACCCTACATCTTAAGCCGTACACAATCAAACACCCACTCGTTATAGCTGTGATTGTAGGCACACAATGACATCAGTCATCAGTCTTATTCATGCTCTTTTTTTTTAGGACTTCCATATTTTATAAATCCTGCAAACGGACAAAAGGCAAGGTGCCTCAATCTGGAGCGGAACATTTTGATGAGAGCAGAACTAGGACTGGTTTAATCCGGAGTTCAAGGAACACAGCTGCCACTTCGCATAATGCTTCTTAACTTAGAAGTTACAACCCTGATTAACAACCAGGCCTAAAGAAAAAAAGTTGAACCCTGATTAATATCCGATGTGGTGGCATAAAGCTTATTTGCAGGGATGTCCCATATCGGCCTGTACTCAGCCCTAAGCACACATTTGCAGGCCGGCCGTCCCTTAGGGCAGGCAAGACCTTCTCCAGCATTGGCGACAATGTAAAACCCTTGCACTACCAACTCTACCTAGCTCGATTTGTACACCCCTGTTGAAATAGAGACCTGAGTTCGAACTCAAGTGGATCCAGATGAGTAAAACGCTGCAATTCAAAAGAAAGAAAGAAAGAAAGAAAGAAAAGGAAAGAAAAGAGAAGAAAGAAAGAAAGAAAGAAAGAAAGAAAGAAAGAAAGAAAGAAAGAAAGAAAAAAAAAAGAAGAAAAAAAAGAAAGAAAGAGAGAAAGAAATAAAGAGAGAAAGAAAGACAAGAAAGAAAGAAACAAAGAAAGAACAAAAGGTAGAAAGAAAGAAAAAAGGAATGAAAGAAAGAGTTGTGATGGCAGGCCAACACGAGTGGCACGAATTGATAGATACCTCTCGCTCTGCCTCCTCCAACTTCTTTCGCAACAAAGCAGCATCTTCCTTGTCTGCGCTTGGCAGAACTTGAGGTGTCCGTTGAATTGCTGTATTGGAGAAGGATTCCAGTGATGATTGTTCGAAAGGGGTGCCGCCTTTCAGTGGTGATAGAAAATTCACCCCAGACCTTGGAGCCAATCGATTTTGACTTTCTGCCAACTCTGATTCCAAGGCCTTCACCTGCATTAGAAAAAGACAGCAATACATGCAATACATTGGAACAACAACGTCAGGTCCAATCACCATCCTATCCAGCATCGATCAACCATAGTCAGTGAGAGATATCAGTCACGCTGAGAACCATGAAAGAGGGTGAATGCACACATGCTTACATAGAAATGCCCTCATATTCAGTTAGCATACAGCCAAAAGCATGGACAGAAAGGAAAGAAACGTTGACGAAAGGAATGAAGGCACATGCATAACTGGTGGGTTTAATCAAAACAATCTTGGAGAAAATCGGCTGACCAAGGCTCAAGCTATGCTCAACGTGTCACATTCCGTGCAGATCTGAAAACAGGAGGATTCGTCTCATTTGAAAACATACCTTCTGTTGATATTCCGCCTCCATGATTTCTGTGGTGATCTTCATCTCATTGACCCAAGATCTCCATTTGTCGGCCTGATTAAAGAGATAACACCATTTCTCAGCATCATCCTTGGCATCCTCATCAACATCCTCATCCCCACCTCATCAACATCCTCATCCTCATCCTCACCTCCTCATCATCATCATCACCATCATCATCATCATGTGAAAGAAAAAACTGGTAAGGTAGCTCTGCCCTGAACTAGTTGAGCTTCCAATCACAATCACAACAAGGTCATCAAATCAGTCACCAAGTGGTCAAAGTGAATGGTTGGAAACCTGGGCGCTATACTGCATTACGCTTCACAAAATTTTCAGAAGTGCTAGTTCATGTCTCGCATCCAACACAGACAGGATTTGAATATGAGATAACATGTCGACCAAGAAAAGTATGTGCAGTGAGTCAACTGTGCATGAGATATCTCATGCAAAAAGAATCAGTACCTCTTGTTTCTTTGCTTCAGCTGTGGCAGCCAATTTCTGAATCTCATTCCTCGCAGTAAGCAGCTCCACCTCTTTCTCCTCAAGGCTCCTGGAAAAAGCACAGGCAAAATGACGATATTCCATATGCCAATTCAGCCACAGAGAAGCTGGAGAATAAACTCACTCTCATAGTGCCATGCTCTCCAACAAACACTAGGATCTCATATCCCATTTGTCGGAATCCCGAATCTTGTCACCTCGGCAACAAACAGCCCATGCCTGCTGTTTATCACGCAGATGCATAAATGAGAGCTGGTGCGGTCCCACATTAAACGTACATACAAGTGCATGTCAGGTACTGACCTGTCATCCAAAGGCCTGTGATCATTGGATAGCCAGTCGCCTATGATCCTCATACAGATAAGAGACAGATCTAGGACTGCAGCTCAGGTCGACACCCCATACTACATCTAAAAAAGCAAATCCATTCCAACAAACTTGTGAGTTGCTGGACACACCTTTGATTTTCCTCCAAGATCGTCTTGCAGTCAAGCACTTCCTTTGCATAGGATGCCACTTCGCTCTCCTTCTCTTCCCTCTTCTGCTGAACTTCGGCCATCTGCCTCTTTGCTATGAGCATTTCCCTCTCTCTCTCCTCTTTCATTACTCGTTGCCTCTCCACTTCGTCATTCGCCTGCAAAATCTGCAATAACAAAGAAAACGTCATACCCCATGTTGCTGCGTAGTACAAAGAAAACGTCATAACCCCTGTCGGTGTAGTACAACGGAATTCCATGATTTACTCCTGTTACAGTAGGCCTACTCCCCCTTCTTCCCCTGATCCATCGTTACATAAACGTCAGTGCTGAAAACCATGCAATCTGTCCACTCAATATGATGTACTTGCTGCACCATGCCAGCCATGAAATGCCAGACTACTGATCTTGATTACATTTTTCCCCCTGTTGCTGTGTAGTACAATGGAATTCCATGATTTACTCATGTTACGGTGGGCCTACGCCCCCTTCTCCCCCTTCTCCCCCTGGTCCATCCATCGCTGCATAAACGTCAGTGCTGAAATCCACACAATCTCTCTTCTCAGCCTTATAATTCATTCAATATGATGTACTTGCTGCACCATGCCAGCCATGAAATGCCAGACTATTGATCTTGATTATGCAATAAATCGCAGTTTCCCAGTGGGGCTGCCACTAAGTGTTCGGCTTTGTTGTTTGTTTTCTTGTTTTGAGCCTTGCGGGACTTGTGTTTTGTTTGTTAGCTTTTAGACCTATTGGGCTTGACCCCTAGATCTGTCACTAGTAGTCCCTATGAGGCAGTCCTAGGCCTTTCAGCCTTTCCCTTTTGCCTTGCCAGGGGTTTGGGTTCCCTTTTCCCTAGTTTCTGGGTAGATACAAATGAGCCTTGGGCTGCTGTCTTGGGAGTCAGTCCAGGTTTTGTCAACGAGTAGAAGTAGTGGGTAGGAAATAGGTATGGGGTCTTTTCAGGGGTTCCTTGGCTGGGGAATCTCTGCCCGTTCTGCTGCTCTATTTTGGGCGAGGTATCTTCTTCCCCTTCCCCCCACCCTTGACAGCCAACTCTCAAAAAAAGAAAAAAAAAAGCCTGGATTTGGGCTCCTCTCGGAGAGCGCCGAAAAAACCCACCACCAATTTTTATATTTTTTTCCCGCATGGCAGGGTATCCCGGGCGTCACGCACGGGTGGCCGGCCGGTCATGAAAATCTTCCTAGATTTATATGATATATGATTGATTCTATTGTATAAGATTTTCAAATATTTTATTTATTAGATTCAATTAAAAAAATATATACTTTATAAATTACTAATTGAGCCGTATGAATTCAAAAACTCATGTACGGATCTACGAAAGGGAGAAGAGCGTTCACTGAGTGGAGTTGACCGCTGCATCAACCCTAAGTGGACTGGTTGACCTGAGGGCCTTGTGACCCTCAAGTTACAGCCCTTTTCCTGTTGACAGTGTGTTCTACTGTCTGGGCCGCTGCTGCGGTTACTTCGATGAGCTATTTCATTGAAAGACTGGAAATTCTTGCTGCAGGTATCACGTCAGCGTCAGCCTGGTGCTAGGATATTTTACTGCGGATAGGGGTTCAATGGTTGACCGGCCAGATATCTTCAATCATATTTCGTTCAAGTGAGCCCATTCTGTGCATTTCCTGGAGCGACGTCAGATGCTGTCTGTGTCTGTCAGAATCAGCCAATCACCAGTCAGTGAAGAGTTCATCAGATTGGTTGTCAGTCATCCTTGGTTTGTTCTGATCCCTCTCTGAGTCCGTTCTAATCTAATAATGGGAATGCTTTTGACATGCCCTGACTCAATGTGATTGCCTACCTGGCTCTGCAAGTTTCAACTGAAACAGTGTCTGGTTTGCAGTCAGTTTTGGTCTGTCAGTCAGTCCAGCCAGTTGGCAGTCGACATTAGCAGTTAGAAAGTGCTCAGTCAATTTCAGAGTCAGATTTTTAGCAAAATGGCATATTCCTGCTTGATCAGAACGCAAAACCACGCGCCTGTATTTTCGGTTTTTGAAATCCGCTCCAGTTTTATTTTTATCTTTCTGACTGCATCAATCAAGTATATCTCCCCAATCCTGTGGAATGCTGACGGTCGTGAGAAGGCTCTGCTGCGAGCCTGATCAGAAAAGAAAGGTTTGTGTTTCTATCCGGTTTTGGGCTCAGGTAAAGTAATTCATTGACAGTTTTGGGTATTAAGCTCTCAGACTGTCTTTTGACATTTGACACTACCTGTCGTGAGCAACTCTTATTTTATGTGTCTTTTCTAACAAATAAGTAATTTGCTGCATGAAGATATTCGCTGGTCGAGGTTACCATGAGCAATTGGGTGCCAGTCACTGATGTCAGTCCCTGCACCTGAAAACGGTCCTACGCAGAGTTGGGAATTGGTAGGTGACCCCATCACCCCGAGTTCACAGATCAGTCAAGGCTGCCATTAGAAGTTCGCCCCTGTTGGTCAGTCTTGGCGGTCCGTGCCATTCCCGTGAGCCTGTCAAGTCTGTTAACTTGTTAAGGTTAGGGAATCAGCCTTTGACCATTTCCGCTTTTATCTTGTTGTTTGAAAAGAACCTTTGGGAATGGGGGAAGGGGGTTCAGCCAACGCAGGGAATTGCAAGTTGCATATCACTGAACTTAAGAGTGGAGAAGTAAGGCTGCAGAGGCAGCTCGATCCAGTTAGCACACGGAATTGCAAGTTGCATATCACTGAATGGAGATATAGGTACGGCTGCAGAGGCAGCCCGATCGTAGTTGGAGCGGATGGAGAAGCAGAAGGAAGGAAGGTTGAAACAATCCAAGTGAAGAGGGAAGAGAACACCTCCTGGGATGAAAGTTTGACTTCGATGGTGGACAGATTATCCATCATCGAAACTAAGCTTTCCTCCCTTGCAGATTCCATTGATCGTTTAGTGGCAGTCATCAATCTATGTTTCCTCCCTTCTCTACTCCCACAACTACTCGTACTCCTACTCCTACGCCCCCTACTCCGACTCCGACTCCTACTGCTACACCCAATTCCAATCCAAGGTCCTCTACTGCTGCATCATCCCAAGCCAGTAGGCCCAAGTGCAGACTGGCTACACCTCCAAAGGTGCAGTCTCTGCACTTGTGGCAGGGCACCCTGCGACTTCTAAGGCTAAAGTGACTGCAGGCCTAGGCCAGCAGAAATCAAGGCGCCCCAAGACAGTCCAACTTGACACATTCACTGGGGATAACCCCAAAGTGGATGTAGCAGATTGGACTGTGTTACGATCCTGGCCAATTTCGAAGTATACATTCATCAGAAAGTACAATGCCGTCCAATTGCAAAAAGAAATGAATGAACTTGAGAGGAGAGGGAGGGAAAGAAGAAGAAGAAGTAAGAAAGAAGAAGAAGATGATGTACTCCAGCATAGACCAATGACAAGGCCCTTCTTCTTCGCCAACCAATCTCGTCCTCCTTATTCAAACAAGAAATAACAATAATAATGTTGAATGGCTGAGCCAGAATCAATGTCCGAATCCCACTTGTACAGCAGGCATAACATGAGGTCCACCATAGCCATGGCCACCCTTCTCCTTCTTCGTCATTGCAGGCCGAGGCTATGGTGGACTACTGAGGCTTCAGCTTCCTGTCCAAAGGACAACCCAAAGCAGCTATGTCGCTGCCCCACTTCAAGCAGCTATGCCGCTGCTCACTGAACCGCCATGCCTGACTCTACCCCGAGCTTCCTTGGTGCAGCACTACCCCAACGGGGGCCTTCCGGATGCAGCGCCTAACAAGGTGATGAAGATGGTGTCCCCCATAGCCAGGTAGGTACCTCACCACTCTCCCCCTTGGTCCCCTTCTCCCTCCTACGGGTAGAGCTCCACCATAGCCAAGGTGGAAGCTCCCGGCTTCTTCCTCCCAGCAGCGCTGTAGCAGCCAGTGCTTCTTCCAGCCAGCGCTCCAACAGCGTGATGCCCAACTCGCACACTGAAGAATGAGGCCGAGCTCTTGCCTCGGCCTCTTGATATAGCGGCCTGCTTGCCTCCTGGGCGGTGACTTCCAGGCCGCTCGGCCTCCTAAGCAACCGGTACCTCCTCCCTTTCGGAGGGAAACATCATTGCAAACTCTGATATTGCCCGTACAGGCTCTAGACTCAGACTGAATGGACTGGTACCGGCCTAGACCTAGCCTACCGCTACTGGGCCTCTAAAAATGCCAACTTTGTCTTCTTCTGCTCGGCCTTGTGTACCCGGCACATCTACTGCTATAGGCCTACCTGCTACTTGAGTGTTTTTCCGCTGCACTAAGCACCGCAGGCCCCTGGCTTGGCTACTTGACTGTTTTCCCTGCTGCAACCCTCAACGCCACGGCCACAGGTAAGTACCGGCCCTACGTGCCTACCAAACAAGCAAGTACCCTTGCGGGTCACACACACACTCATGCCAACAAGCACTTAGACAGGCACGCAAGTCAACAGGCATGCACACATACAGGCTTAGAAAACACAGCAGAACGCGGGAATCAGCAAGGCATCCATTCCATCGGCAGAACTTCAGAAATCAGCAGTGTTCTCAGTCTGTGTTATGGCGGGTCATTACAACTGCCTCGATGAGATGGTACCTCAAGGAACTCACTTGCCCAGAGGTTACCAAGGCGCAGTCCACAATGGCCCGTTCGGGAGGGCCTGCACTTCAGTGGGCTACTTCTGAGGCCAGTAAGGCCCAGAAACAGCTCGCCGACTGGGCTGTTACAGTAGGATTGACCATCTATTTAAGGGCCTGGAGGGGAGGTTCAGCGATCTAGAGAGAGCCAAGAATGCCACTGGGGAGCTTGTGAGGATAAGCCAGTCAGAGATAACCTCTACACCCAGGCAGGAAGCACCTCCCCTCCTCAAAGTCAGAGGAAGAGCAAAGGGAGGTGGCACACGATGGAGTCTGCGAAAGATTCTGCAGGATTTGACCAGAAAGGATTGACTCCCTCAGCCGGCCGAGGTGCAGGAGGCTTTCCAAACCAGGCTTTCTGACTTTGACAACTGGTAAGCTCCAAAGAGGGCCCCCTCTCCTATGGGGTCTGGCAAACGCCCTTGTGGACCTCGAAAGCAGAATCTTCCCAAGTTTGCCAAATGTCCAGCTAACCCAATTGACCCTTCCTCTCTCCAGTGGAGGGACTTGCACATTCCAAACGGGCTATGGCAAAAGAGGAAGGATCCAGTGTCTGCCTCAGATGTGCTGGGAAACACTTTGTCAAGTATTGCCCTTCTCGGGGCAACCACTACGCTGTAACCTGACCCGATCAGTAGCGGACTCTGCTGAACCGAGAGTCCTTTTGTTGAAAAAGGAGCAGGTTCAGTTCGGTGGGTGAGTTCATCTGAAAGAAGGCTGCTCATTGCGTAGTTACATTGAGCCTGATTCTGGGCTGATCCCATTTCTCAAACACCACTGATGAACAGACTGCAGTCTGACAAGAATTTCACTGTGGACTTCACTGAACCCTTGTCTGACTAATCCACTATGTATGCTTTGAGTTGCATTCATTGTCTGAGCAAGTTCATGTTCTCAAACTGAACTGCACTCATTGGATGGATGACCTGTGTTTGAGAGAGACTATGATTAGTACACATCTTACCTCATATTTTCCTACGCAGTCCTAAGTTTGCTCTCTGGGGTAGAAATCAGATTTCCAGTGTTTCTCTGTGGTCGCACACTTGTAACGACAGTGTTCTGAATTTTACCTACACAGCTGCAATTCATTTTAACCACTGGGCTTTGTCTCAGTAATGTCTCAGCCTGATTGGCCAAAGTCAAATCTGTTGTGACTGAACTCTCTACTCAGATAGACCTACCATACACATGACTCTGTCACTTCAAGCATTACTGCTGAATACGGTCAGGCTTAGCCCCATATACAAATTTGGTCAGATCCTACTCTATTCTTGGAAGAATCTGTGTAGCATGCTTGCAAATACCCAGATCAGCAGTTGAGGAGTCTAACTGATACCCAGTCAAGAAAAAAAATAATTAGATTTTCAGTATTAATGGGTTACAGCAAAGTTGATTACTAGGCTAACACCCTAGCTGGCCCATGCTGTTAATCTAAACATCGATAATCTGAGTTTCAGGATGTGGTTAGCTATCTATAAGTTGATTACAAGGCCAATACCCTTGCATGCAGCTAGCCAACACTCGCTGATAATCTGAGCTACAGCCCATAGATTTTCAGAAGCTGATTGGTTGCCTAGAAGTTGATTACCTGGCTAATACCCTCGCATTCAACTAATCAATCTAATCTGATAATATCACCGTAACCCTCTGAGATTCTGAGGTCTTTGCGCTCTTCACCACTATGCATATCTGCTGTTCCTCATGAGGAACTTCATTTTCTTCGAAGTGCTGGATCGGTTAAGATGCGCAGGCGCTGCTATCATTGGGGTCGCTGGTTAAGATGGGCATGTTGTGACAGCTGTGGGGTTACTGCTGCTATGGCAGCCATAGCCAGGGGTATAAGGAGGTGAGGAGGAAGAAGAAGACTCCTGCATACTTCGTTGAACACTAGTTTTTGGTTGTTCGGGGTTGTTGTAAACGCAGTTGTGGTACAAGTACTCTGGATTGATTGGAGGAGGACGAGGGATTGCAGATTTGAAATTCGTTTTTCAATGCTGTGTGTTTTGAGCTTTTGTGTGGATTTGCCTCCTTCGAGTCTACTATGCGATTGCATGTGTGAATGGGAACGTGTGAAATCTCAATCGCGTACATAACAATTATATCTTTCCCCCCTACGTCACTGCTGAAACCCACGCAAACTCTCTTTTCAGCCTTATAATCCAATCAATAAATATGTTGTACTTGCTGCACAATGCCAGACTATTGATCTTGATTATACCTTCCCCCCCCCCCCCTCTTCCCTCTCAAATTCTTATTGGACTCCACGGCTTCTTGTCCAGAAGAATGGTCAGCATAGACAGACGATAAGGCGGCAGTGTAACACAGGATGGCAAGAAGCTGATTATTCTGGACTCGCTTTTGGTGAGTGTCATGAACAGCGGGCTGTATTATAAACATTCCAGTCATGATGAAGGTTGATCTTTTCGGAACCAGCGGGCCAGCAGCCAGCGCAGAATATTACAACCAAGCCCCACACCACATAATCCAAGCATCTTGAAGTCAGTTGATTACAACATACCTGATCTTGCAAGGATGCAATCTTGGACTCTAGCTCTCCTCGCAACCTCATCACCTCAGCCATCTCCGCCTCCCTCTCCTCTGCCACCGCCTTGCAGTGCTCTGCAATCTGCACAGAATGTCAGGGGCCACAACACCCACTTTCCATGTGATTCGCCAATTAAGACAAAATCATGCCATTTGGTACTCATGTCTCTTCAGACTGACTGCTTGATAAGAACACCAACATAAACAAAGGGGATCTGCAAAAATGAAGGACAATCGGTACCTGGCGTGCTTCTGCAGCAACAGCCTCCCTTTCCTCAGCTTGAGCCGTCACTGCGTCTAGCTCTCTCCTGACTGTCTCTGCTTCTTTGATTGCTTCTTCCTTCTCTGTATGCAACCTCAGCATGTCTGCTTTCAACCCATCCACAATTCGCAGCCCATCCTTATCTTGTTCTGTTAAGCCACCTTTCACGTCCAATATCAATTCGAGCTCATCCACTCTCCTCCTCTTCGCATCCAGTTCTTCAATCAAACTTCTCTCCCTTTCGATCATATTTTCCTTGTCAAGACTGATGTCCTCAATCTCCATCACCACCGCTCGGAGGTCCACCATTTCCATTTCCAGTTCCTCCATCTTAATCGTTTTTAAGGCCAATTGCTCTCTCAGACTGCTCTCTCTTGCAAGCATTCCCTCTGACTCCTTCCTCACTCGCTCTGCATCCATGACCAGTCCCCTCATCTCCTCTAGCTCCATTTCCAATACCTCACTCTTTCGTTTCTCACTTTCCAGTTTGTCTTCAAGCACATGCAGTTTCTCCCTCATCTCACTTTCCCCCTTGGGAGGTGTGAAGTAGCCCGCAGCAACCATTGAAGTGTCAACACTGGTGGACACCCCAAGACCTTTCCTCCATAGGGTTTCCATCTGTGCTGTCTTCCTTCGAAGTTCACTTTTCAGCTCATCTACCTGGCCCATCATTACGTGAAGCTCTATTTCTTTCTTCTTCCGCATTGCCCGTGCCACTGCCATTTCACGTTCTGCAGCCTCTGCCCTCTCCATTGCTGTCTTAACGTCTTTATTCTTTGACTCCTCCACCTGTCTCTTCTCCTCCCTGGCAGATGCCACCATCACCTTCAACTCCTGGAGAGCTTTATCCTTCTTTCCACTTCGAGCAAGTGACTGAGCAAGGCTCTTCCATGCGCTCTTCTTCTTCTCATCATTAGAGTTCTCAGTCTTCGTGCCAACTGCCTTCCTCTCCTCTTCTGCTCTATCTTGTTCACAATTGTGAGCAGTTCTATTCAGTTTCTTCTCTGCTTCAATCAGCTGCTCCCGAAGCCTGTCCACCTTGATTTTCTCTGTGCTTGAGCTCTCTTCTGCCTTGTCCGCTCTCTCTTGCACGTCGAGAAGATGGGAGTTGAGCTCCTTCACCTTGGCAGTAAGATTCACCACCTCTGCATTCCTCTCTTCCGCCAACCTCTCCTGGTTCTCTTTCTCTTCTGCTAACGCGAATATTTTGCTCCTCAGCTCATCCATTCGCTCTCTCATCCTCCCAACAAGCTCAACAACCTCCACATCACCTTCCTTCATTACATCTCTGTTACAGCAACCACCATCCTCCATTTCACGCAGTTCCATCAGAACACACTCCCACTTCCGCCTTAGTCTCTCCAGATCAACCTCTTTTTCTCTCCGTCTTCGTTCAGCATCACTCAACTGCTCTTTCACGCCATCAACCTCCATCTCTGCAACTGCCTTCTCCTTCCGTGCTTCCTCCACCCTTTCCTCAGCCATAGCCGCAGCCTGATGTGCCAGGTCCACGAGAATCCTCATCTCCTCCACGGTCTTTTCAGCCTTCTTCTGAGTGGCTACCACACTTCTCCTTGCATCATCCCGTTCCTTCTCTGAAACAGCTGCCTTGGCAAGGGCTTCGTCCCTCTCTGTTTCGAGAGTTGCAATTGTCTTCTCAAGTTCTGCAATCAAATCGCTTTTTCCCATGCCTCTCTCCTCCACTGACGCACCCCAATCCTGTGGCATCTTACATGGCATCACACACTCGTCACCATCAGCCTCACCAACAGACTCCTCATCTCCGTCTCCTCCATCTTCCAGATCCACTTGCAGCCCCCTTCTCGACAGAGCATCCCTCTCCTCAGACCTCCGGCATGCCATCGACCTCTCATCTTCTAACTCTCGCTCTCGAGCTTCCAATGTCCTCCTTGTCTCATCAACCTCTGCCTTTGCCGCCTCCACCATCCTCTCCAACACTGTCTTTTTTTCTTCTGCACAATTTATCTTCTGGCTACTAGTAGGGCCACAATCGGCAAGCGCAGCATTTCCACGAAGTTCCTGCAACTCTTCCAGAAGCCGGTTCTTCTCAGCAACTACCTCTGTCAATCTTGAATGGCCAGCCTCCAACTTCTTCCTCAAAGAGCCAATCACATCCGCATTCTCATCTCCACCCTCTTTCCAGTCATCCTCCCAGTTGCAGCCTTCTCTGACAGCATCCCTCTGCAAGGCACGGACATTGGCGTTTGCATCCTGCAGCCTCTTCCTCAGTGTTCGGATCTCAATATCTTTTTGTGCAAGGTCCTTAGTTGCCTTCTCGAGGGAGCGTACCATGCTGTCTTCCCTCTCTGCTGCTGTTCGTGCATTCTCCTTTGCTTCCCTCCACTCCTCGTGAAGTGCCTCCAGCGTAAGGGCAGTTTCCCTTTCTGCATCAGATCTTGTCTCATCCTCCAACGCAAACTTTTGCCTTTGAGAAAACTGTTCATAATGCAGCAATCGCAAGGCATTTCTCAGCTCTTCCCCTTCCTTCCGTGCAGCGTCAAGCTCCCGAGACAGCTCATCACGGGCAACCTCTGCAGCACGACGAGCCTTTCTCTCCTCTGCAACCTCCAATCTAGCCTCCCGAGCTGCCACTTCTATCTCCTTTTCATCTCGCAGTTCACGCAACCCTTGCTCCTGATGTAACTCTTCTTTGACTACCTCGAGCTCTTCCTCAAGAACCTTCTTCTCGTCTTCCATCTCCTCTATCCGTACCTGCAGTCGGTCCACCTCTGCCCTCAGCTCCTTTGCTGTATCTGCTTCCTCTTGGAGCTTCACTGTCAGATTGTTGATGCATGAGGCCTTCTCTTGCAGAAGAGCCTGTAGATCATCCACTTTAGCAGCGATCTCATACCTTTCCTTCTCCAGCACCTCCCTCTCCTGCTTCTCTCTTTGAACGAGGTCTGCAATTTCGAGCTCTATTTCATCAACCCGTTCAGTCAAGGCGGACTTTTCCTTTTCGGCCAAAGCAAGTGCGTCCTTCAGATTCTGCAGCTGCTGATCGTGGTTGCTGATCTCCTCATTCTCTTCTTTATTCATGTTAGAGGCCTTGACAGAGGATACCATCTCTTGCCTTGCCTGAAAATGAGTGTTGGCATTCTGAAGCAGTTCAATCTGCAGCTTGAGGGCTTCTATGTCCTTGTGGAGCTCAATTTCCTGTGCATCATAACCACCCAAGCAAAAGAAATCATGAGCAAATGTCTATCCCGTGAATAACATAGATAGGTCAGCCAAGAAAAAGGAAGAGACAAATAAAACCCAACCAAAAAGGCGAAGGAGAAAGTGCGCACTGACCACAGACCTGTGGCCCATGGTCTAGTACAAGCTCGCGAGTGACAAAATACAAAATCAACAGGGCGTTCGAGCTGCAGCTAGAAGTACACCATACTTATCCAGGACTTCAAAAACTGAAATGGGTAGGTAAAAAAAGACAGCAAGAGGGTGGACATGTATCTTACTCGGCTGGCAAATTCGGCCTCCCGGCATTCAGCAGCCTCTGTTAACTGAAGCATTTGGTTCTTATGGCACTCTTCCATGGCTCTTTTCTCGCCCTTGAGTATCTCCAGGATATCCGTTGACTGATTGGTTTTCTCCTGAATGCAAGCAGGCAAGCACACAGCCAAACAGTAAACCATACCGTCTACATCCAAGCAAACATGACTACCATTAATAAGAAAATCGACCCAAATGTAAACTCAGGTCTGTCGCTGCCTACCCGCCACAACATAAGAAATCTGCTTCACAGTTCGCTCTGGGAAAAGAGATTCTATATACGACAAACATATCTGCCATAAGAGTCCGTTGTACTTATTGGACAACAGACTCAAAAGAACATGTCCAGATCTATGGGAGAGTCAAGGATGCGACCAACCACGTGTCAACGACAACGAAGTAATGTGGAAGACAAACAGACATATCAGAACGAAGAATTGGTAGTGAAAACACAATCTATTGAGAAGGCATGCCCTGATGAATTGCAGAGCCAGGAGGACGGACAAAGAGATGAAGCGAGACAAAGATCATGCAAGTGACACAACGATATATTGAAAATCATTTATTGTGCACTCTACTTTCTGCAAGGAAGGACGCAAAGGACGATAAGCATACAAGGAAAAGATGTGCACCTCTGCGATTCTCAGCTTGTACTCCGCTTCCCGAAGCCTCTCAAGAACATCCTCTGCCCCAGCCACTCCTTGTTTCGTCTCCTGGAAAAAATGAACGCACAATTAGGCATGCAAAATTTGTATTTATGCTGCCTGACTCACACCCATGTCCAAACAACAATTACGGTACAATCACCATGGCAGCTACATATCCAACCGAAGGAATGAACACATGCCAAAAGCATGCAATGACTAACCCAAAAAAGGTTAAACGAAACAAGTGAAGTTTTTTTTGGTAAAAAATGATGAATGAATGAATGAATTGTTTGAATGAATTTGATCCCTGCCAGGGAAGTGGGTTCATTTTTTTTGTCTTGTCTTTCTTGATTGGTCGTCGTTTGTTCAGCACCGCTTCGAATTCTTTCTTTTATTTTTTCCCTTTTTTTTCGTCATTCTTGATCTTTTTTTTTTGGGGGGGGGCAGGCCTTGAGATTTTTTTATTTTTTTTTTATTTTTTTTTGGGCTTGAGGTCTTTTCTTTTCTTATTCTTATTTCTTTATATTTAAAAATATATATATATATTATTTTAATTTTTATAATTTTTAAAGAATTTTATTATTTTAACGTTCGTTAGTTCACGACAGACATTCAAGCAGGAACGTCACCAACTGTCAGGGAACCGGGCTCAATCTTTTTCAAAGGGTTCAAAGGGGACTGTCAGGGAACCGGGTTCAACAATTTTCAAAGGGTTCAAAGGGATGCCGGGTCACGTTCATTTTGGTCATCGATGTCTCGATTTTCAAAGGGTTTCGAAGGATGCCGGCTCACGCTCATTTTGGTCATTGACAAGTCTCGACTCTGGGCTTTTTTTCGGGTGGAGTTGAGTGTTTTTTGGGGGGCTGTCAGGTGTTTTTTTGTGGATTGTTTTTTTTTTTGTTATGCTTTTGGTCGTTGGCCATCAACGAGTCTCGACACTGGGCTTTTTTTGGGCAGGGTAAGGGGTAGGTTCAGCTTTTTTCTTGGCGTCAAAAGCAAACGGCTCGTTCGATTTGGTTGTCGAAGAGTCGAATTCGGGCTTTTTTTTTGCCAGGTCTCTCGAAACGCAAGCGGGTTGTCGATTTGATCGTCGACGAGTCGTCGACTCTGGCTTTTTTTGGAGGGGGTGGGGTCGAAATCGAGATCGAGAAAAGGGGTCTCGTTTTCTCGGCGACTGAAGCCTCAATCAACGACTGAAGCCTGACTATTGCTTAGGCAAGCGGGTCATTCAGATGGTGGCAAGCAAGAGGCAAGTGAGCGTGATTCAGTAGATAAATGTGTTAGTAGGGAGGTCTTTGCCGTAGTATTGCTGCTGTTGATGCTGGAGAAAGGATTTCTGAGTGATTCGGGGCAAGGCAGGAGTGCAAGGGTGGTTCACGTAGGGGGGGGGGATAAATTCCTATTCTTATCAACGATTTTCGCCAATGACTTTCATCTCAAACACACAAAAGTCCCTCCCGGCTACAACTACTTTGCCCTGGCTGCGCCCCCGCGCCTTGCGCGGCTACAGTTAAACGAAACAAGAAGTGAAGTTTTTTTGGGTAAAAAGTGGCAAACAAGCCCTCCAACGATCCCCCCACATATCTGCTTTCTGCACCTATTAGACTGTACGACAAGTTGTAGCAGACCTGCATTAGTCACCCATAACCGCTGATACACAGACCTGAATTCGACCAGACTATATATTTTCAGCCCACTCATGCTAAACTGGAAGTCTAACGCCTATCACTGCTTCACGATGGGTCCTTGCTGATTTGCTGTAGGGGCCCTTTGGAAAAGGGACTGGGCCCAATTAGGACATGCACACCCACACGCACACACATGCGCACGCAGTTTTGGGGTATGACGTGGCCCCAACTTTTTTCCCTCTTGCAGTTCGATTTTAAGAAGCGAGGGGCACGTTTGGCCACCCCACCCTGTCCTTTCGTTTTTTTTTTCCCGAAGTGAGGCGCCGCATCACTCGCACACGCTCTGCGCTGGATGTGGCGCGACCCCATGCACGGCATGCGCTGCAAGTATGGTACGTATGGAACGCTCACCGACCTAGCCTACCAATCCATAGGAGGAACATCAACTGCCCAGACGATATGGAAGATAAATACTGGTGTCCTGTCAGCTGCTCTGAAGAGCCAAATCTGTTTGATGAACTTTGATCCAAAGAATCAAAAGTGACAAGACAATGAGGGGTGTGAAGCCAACAAAACAGGAAAGGAGCATCCGTGACATGTACCACCCAAATCTCTGACAGAGAGGAGAATGCATCTGCTTGATCTCAACAGCCAAAAGCAAAGAAGTCGATGAGGGACTGTGAAAGAAACTAAACAGGAAATACCATACATCACACACACCACACAACCCCTGACAAAGAGGAAAATGCATGGGTATTTACTACGTGTGAGCCAGCTCAACGGTAAGCACATATGAAGTAGCACCGACTACAACGAAGATCCAGAAACAAGACCACAAGACAATGCACATAATCAGCAATCAAATGACCACCCTACTTACATTGAGCTCAGTCCTCAAACGAGCAATCTTGTCGAGTGCATTCTTGAGTGCTGCTTCTGCAGCACGCCGCTTGTCAATTTCCGCCTCCAGTTTTTCGTCCGTCTATCAAGAGCCGTCAAAAAAATATCCAAAAAAAACAAGCGATTAACAATGCCCTCTTTAGTGCATGCGCGAGCAATGAGCATCCCAAAAAATGACAGGCTGAAGGCAACGGTTACAAGTCCACCCAACCTTTGCCCATTGTGTTAGCCCAACAAAAGAAGTTGATGGAAAGGACATCGGGCAAATTATAGGGGAATGCAGGGAGATGGTCCTAGAATCGGTCCCGAAAGAATCTTAGGAAGAAAATACAACAGCCCTCCCAGCGAAAAAGAATTTAAAGTTACCACAAAGCACTCTGGACGCATAAAATTTTCATTCCAATGGTCAAGGAAGAAGAGAGATACACATCACAGAGTCCAGCGTCCCATAATAAAGTTTTCTTTGGAAAAAAAGAGAAAAAAAAAAAGACGCACATGACAACAGAATGCATGAACACGTCTGCACTGCACAATCAATGTCCACGAGGCTGGAATGAGAAGCAACATCCCCCAGTAAAGAATCTGAAAATTTGAAAAAAGGACAGAAATAGGCAGCTCAGAAGCCTTGAACGAGGGACATAGCTTACCTCAGCAAGCTGACTGAGTAGCTCGGCAGATTCTGCTGAAGGACCTTGGATGTCGCGGATGGCAATTCCAATGGACTCCCTCGATTTAGCCTGTGACAATATGCAGCCAAATATTGTGATAAGAATAAGATGCTCACTGAAAACATGCATCCTGTAAAACCAAACTGTAATAGGTTTGCTTCACGATTTGCTGAAAAACAGGCCAGCATATACCAACAACCTTGCATATTAAATAAACCTAATTTTCCTGTCTAAAAGTCGCACCACTGTTAGTGATACTTAGTATACTAGCAGTGCATAAGAGTACCCCCACTTCCAAAATTTTCCATTTCCATGACATCTGGACTTCAATCGAAATCCGAGGAACAAAGACTATGACCGAGCATTTAGACGGGCAACACAGTTTTTGTGCATCAAATCATACCCTGAGTGAGCATTAAGATGGGCGACACAAAGTTTTTGTGCATCGAACAATACCCTGAGTGAAGCCGTCTCTGCCTCAATTACTGTTCGCTCTTCATGCAGCTTTGCAATTTCCACACGGAGCTCGTCAACTTGCCTGCAAGCACAATTGTGCAGAGAACGGTTAACAATCAACCGTCCAAAGAATCCCAGAGGTAGGCCGGAAAACGCATGCACATGACAAGAGAAAACTCAGAAGCAGGATGGCGGACCAGGAGTCAAACCGAAGGTTTCATTAGCAAACCACTACTAGTTCTGTCAATTCCCAACAGCAATATAACATGACAAGCACTAGGATCAGGCAAGGACGCAGACAGGCTGTGCATCACGACTCTTTCGAAGGAGCATATGTCCTTGTGTGGGGAGGACAACATGCACTGTCTGGAGTGATTATACACAAAATCCAAGGAGTGGATCTTTATGTCTGAGGAGGATATCATGCACTGCACGGGAGTCATTATATGCAACAGCTGGAGACAGAAGGGAGTACCCACTGACCAATTCAGAACGTTAACTCATAGAAGGACGGTACAATTTCGCACAGCATAGGAAAAAGAATGATGTGGGCTCACCCAAGCGGGGTAGCTAAGTTGGTTGAGCACGTAAGTTGCAATTAGGAGGTCGTGGGTTCAACACCAAATGTCATCCTTTTGATTCCCGCGGCCTCCTGGGGTATGCTTCGGGTTCACCAGTGGAGATGATTGCCTTGGACCTCCTGGCTGGTTGTGGAAGCGATTGTGGCTAGCTTTCCAGCCTATGCCAGGTGTTAGGAGCTTGGGTTCTGCTCCCCACACAGAGCAGAATGAGGCCGGTATCGACCCATAATCCTTAGGACCGCCCAGATTGTGTGCATAGATAGGTTTCACTGAAAAATGCAACTGGACAAGGAGTAGATAGGTAAGGTAGGAGAGAGATAGCTTGTGGTCCACAGATGAAGAGTATATCATTCCAGGCTAGGTAGGTAGGTATTGGGAGGCATATTGAGAGAAGAATATAGGTTAGTTATTAAAAAAAAAAAAAAAAAAGAATGGTATGGGGCTCAATGAGGACAGACGGACTGACCTAGCCATCTTTGCATTTGTCTCTAAGGAGATGCTCAGGTTTCTCCTGCATTCAGCCAGATCCTTCTGAAGCGCGTCCACCTGTTATCATGTGTTTCAAAGGGGCAGATCAAATCACCCATCAGTTAGTCCACCACTCCCCTTGCCAGGTCACCCCCTTCAACTTTTGCCTCCCTCCATAACAAGGACAGATCTACTCATGCTCACACATCAAGAGTAAGCATACAGAAACAGGTCCTCATAGCGTATCCTGGGAAATTTTCCCTACCCTTGCCAGGTCACCCCCTTCAGCTTTTGCCTCCCTCCTTCAGAACAGGGACAGATCTACTCATGCTCACACGTTCAGAGTAAGCATACAGAAACAGCTCCTCAGAGCGTATCCTGGGAAATTTTCCCTCGCTGGGTTATTGCTACAGAGAGTGGAAGGGAGTGCTGAAAGCTGAGAGGTGTACAAGCCAATATTCAATATACAATGAATTCCAGGTCGCCATTCAATGAGACGCCAGAGCCGTACTAGTAGCATTGAGGTCAGCGGCACGTATAATGCGAGAGCCGAGATAAAAATAGTAAGGGCCTAGAAAATATGGTTAGATCCATGAGTCCTTAGTGCAGGAGGAAAGCAAGTAGTGACAAGATGAGGGGATGGAATGAGCAGTGAACTCTCACCTCCAAACGAGACAGCTCTGCCATATGACTGGCAACCGCTGCAGCCTTTCCACCATCTCCACACTGCTCCAAGTGTTGCACACCCTGGATGCACGCGTTCAGGAAATGCTTCTCAGTGTCGAAGTACACAATTGAGCAGAGGGAGAACAACAAAGAGGGATCAACATCGAAATGAAGAACAACAATGAAGGATGGCGTGTGGTCCATGACCAAAGGTCCCTGGAAATGTGCCATTTACTAGCAGAACAAAACCCCAGAAGCTCGCGTCACTTCATTTCTCTCCAATTTCAAGCATAAATATAAGTCTATGATCAATGACTTACCCCTCCTTTGCTGAGGAAGATAGAGCTCCGGCGGTTGCTAAAATCTGTGACATTCCTTGAGTCCAGCAAAACAGTAAGCTGCACAAATGCAAAAGAGAAGCAGGAGAGACCAGGAGAGAGGGAGAGGGAGACAGAGGGAGACAGAGGGAGACAGAGGGAGACAGAGGGAGACAGAGGGAGAAAGAGGTAGAGAAAGAGAACAAGGTTAGGGTTGAATGCAAAAGATGGGCCGGAACTTTCAGGGGGAGGGGGAGAAACAGCACCGTATCAATAAATTGCCACACAGCCACAGCACATGATCAAATGAGATTATGGCGAGATGGGAGAGGGACCAACTCAAATCAGTAAAGCTCCGTTCTTCTTCATCCTGAGCAGTGCATCAAGATCGCCCGTGCGCAGAACAGGGGGACAACATAGCACGGTGCAACAGACAATCATCACGCTTGCCTGACCAATGCCAAGACAGAATTCCCCATCTTTTTTTTTCCTTTTGCAATAACCTTTCACATTATAAGCGGGTCCAGCATCCGTCACATACAGAATAACCTCGTCTACGTGCTGAAAAACGAAAGAAAAGCAGCTAATTAAACCTGAGAATAACGATGGGAGTTCATTCACACGTGGCTGCACGAATACAAAGCCAAACGGACAGCCTGTCACTTATCAGTATCAGATCACAGGAAAAAGGACTGACCTCATCTCGAAGTGCAGCGATTTCCTCCTTCATAAGCTCCCTCTCACCGTTTTCATAGAACTCTCGGTCCCTAGATAAACCAAAGTTAAACAAGACGAATGAAACAAGATAGAAATCTCTTTGTGAGATAGCTTCAGGACTCAATGTCATTCGTGACAAGTGTGTTCTTAAACTAGAAAGAGTAGAGCATTCTGGATGCATCTCGAACTATCATGCTGCCACGAGAAGCACCCGTCTATTCTGACCCCACACAATAAATCCAAACTCCAACAGTAACCCAGGCAAGGACATCACATGACACCAATGCACATTGCTGACTTACTTGTTAAGCAGGCCGAGAAGGCGCAGATTCTCTGAAGCAAACTTCATAACTTCCGGTGGCTTAGCTGCCCTTTCCCGAAGCACTTGCAACTCCTGCAATAGATTGGCATTCTCCTCCTGTAGTGCTTCGTCCGCATTTGTCATTAGCAAGCCATCTGCCGCCACCTCCAAGCGCCGAATCTTGTCCTCTCTGAACTTGAGAACCATTCTCCCACAGTTTGCCTCCTGCTCCATCCGCTTCACTAATTGCTCAAGGTGCTCAATTTCCGAAGCCTGCTGTTTCACCTGGTTCTCTGCAGACTGCTCTCTCCTGAAAGCCCCAGCTAGCATTGCCTCCAGTGCTCGAACCTGCCATTATCAGGAAGCCTGGTCAGTCTCTCACCACAGTGTTGAACAAACACCTCAATTGAGCAGTGAGAGGACCCTGTCACGTTGCCAAGAAAAACCAACTCAAGTGAGCAGTGAGAGGCCAGTAGTGCATATGCACGCATGCACGCTACTTCAGCTTAAGGGAATCATACAAGGAAGAAGGAACTTACTCTGCTTGCAGTAGCAGAAGTGTCTTTTGCCGGAAGAAGAGATTTCGTCAAGTCAAAAGAATCCATGGAACTCCTGAGTGCCTGTGCCAGAACCATCGTGCTTGATGCCTGGAGTGATTGCCGTCTTGCACTCGGAGATATTGGTGGGGGTAGTCCACGCAAGCGAGAGAGCTCCTCTTTCAGCCGTCGAATCTGCTCATTCAGATATGCCACATCCCCTGAGCTGTCTTCGTTGACAACCGCCTAAGATGTGGGCAGCACGGACGCCCAAACAACAGAATCATAGGACGACAAACAGGTCCAACGTTGGAAAAAGTGAGCAGTCGATTCACACCTTTTCAGTTGGAAAAGGACACAGAGAAATAACAGACCCCCCTATCTACTCAGCAATGGAGTAAATGGTCGTCATGAGCGAACCCATTTCTTTCCCATTTCTCACCTTGTTGCGAATGAACTTGGCCCGCTGGGCAAACTTCAGTGTGCCAAGCGTCTCACTGAAGCAGCTGCATACACATAGCCATCAGAATTTGGGGGAACACAGAAGACAACGCACAATAGTTAGATCATCGTGGAGTTTTTTACTGTCTTAAGCACTGGATCTGGCAATTTTAATCCCGTCTTTGCTTGCGTGTACTGTCTCGTCCACTGAAAGAACCAATCTTTTCCTGTTGATCGAACAACGTAGCCGACAGAATTTCGGGGTAACAGAGAAAACACGGAACATAAGCCCTTCGGGACATTCCATTGAAATTGGAACGATACAGAAGATTAGCTTGGCCCCTGTGCAAAAAAAATAAGGCACATAAGTCAGATGAGTGTAGGTTTTCTTTACTGTCATTTTTCCACCTACCTGGTCGTGCTTGCATGCACTGTCTGATTCAATTAAAGAACAAATTTTCCTTTCAATCCAACAGAAGGCGATAAATAATCAGCAAAAGTGATAAGAACTCCAGTTCAGCTACACATCTTTGCAGTGTGCTTCTTCTTCTGGTAGCTTACCTGAGGGATGGGCTCACGTTGGCAATCATCACAGTTTTTGAATTTCCTCCCAGCGAGTCCTGAGAAAGAAGCAAATAACAGCATCAGTACCCACCCACACAGACACACAGCGAGCAGGCCAAGCCACCCAACACGTTACTATACTGGAAATCCCTTGCATGACCACTCAACCATGGCACGAATCGAACATAAGAACGGCTGTGGAAGTTCACAGCCGTCTAACAAACAGAAATTCAGAGAATGTATTGCATC